TAAGTAGGCTTCTTGCCCAACACAGAGCTCAATGCAAGGCTTGAACCCATAACCTTGAGATCAACACCTGAGCTGAGATCAAGAGTTGAACTAGACGCTTAACTGACTGAGCCATCCAGGTGCCCTGATTTTAAGGACAGATTTTCATAAATGGGGTTGTACTAAGACATACCTGTACACCACCCACTACCTATGATGAGCATGTGACACATTCTTTCTGAACCACACTCACCTGTTGTCAAACTCAGTGACATTCTGTAGCTCCTTTCGATATTTCTCCAGCAAAACCCACTCCGAACATTCTGCTGGTTTAGGAGTGGGGGGCGCTGGATAAGCAAATTTGAACTTCAAGTACCCGCTTGGGGTGACACAGAAATGGCAGTGGGGCCTGTACGTGACATTTTTCACCAGCCAGTTCATACTCAGGATGCTGAAGTCATGGACGTGTAAGGCAGCCCCTGGAAAGGGAAGGAAGGCAGGGGTAGAAGTGAAGCAAAAGAGGTGAAATCCAGATTCCAAGGCTCAGGGGCTGTGAGGACAGTGCAGATGGACAAGAAGTGACAATCACAAGGTTGCCTATCTGGCAGAGTTCCCCACAACTGCACATCATGTACCTTTCCCACTCCAGCGCAAAGACTTCCCAGGCCTATGTCTGCCATTGTCTCCCCAGGATGGCCACTGCCTGCTTTGCTCTGGTTTAAGAAGGGAGCATCCCTCACTAGTCAGAAGCCATGATGACCTCATTCAAGAGAGGGAGCCCAGGGGAGCCTGGGTGGCTCAGTGGGTTAAGCGTCAGACTTGGGCTCAAGTCATGATCTCACAGTTTGTGGGTTCGAGCCCCACGTTGGGTTCTGTGCTACAGTTCAGAGCCTGGAGTCTGCTTCGGATTCTGTGTCTCCCTTTCTCTCTCTCTCTGCCCCTACCCCACTCACACCCTGGCTCTCTCTCTCTCTCAAAAATAAATAAACATTAAAAAGAGAGAGAGAGAGAGAGAGAGAGAGGGAGAGAGAGAAGCAGCCCAGGGGCACCTGTGTGGCTCAGTTGGTTAAGTGTCTGATTTTGGCTCAGGTCATGATCTCAGTTTGTGAGATTGAGCCCTGCATCAGCAATTCTGTCAGTGCAGAGTCTGCTTGGGACTCTGTCTCTCTCTCTTTCTGCCTCTCCCCCACACATGAGCTTGAGCTGTGTGTGTGTCTCTCTCTCAAAGTAAATAAATAAACTTTAAAAAGGGGGAGGGGAGGGATGAGCTTCAGCCCTTGCTCCCACCCTGGTCCTGTTTGCACAACTGTCCTCAGTCCTCTCAGCCTGCTCCCAGTGCCCACGCATTGGCTTTGCATTCCCTGCTTCCAGCCAGTATCTAGGCAGCTTCTGGCCTGCAGGCTTGCCATTGATGCCCTATGCTTCTTTCAGACCTGACACCAATCTAGACTACAGCACTCCTCAAGTCACAGTATACACTGTCCCTCTGCTCTTCCTGCTCTGTCTTAGCACCTGGCCTTGACACGGGCCACTTAGGTGTCACAGCTGTGTGAGCTTTGGCATGTCACCTCTCTAAACCTTATGTCCTCCATCAGGTGGGGATGTGACTTTACCAACTGCACAGTTGTTTCTTTGTTTTTTTAGTCTCCATATTTAACATTAAAATAAAAGAGGTATAGGGGCTCCTGGGTGGCTCAGTCGGTTCAGCGTCAGACTTCGGCTCAGGTCATGATCTCAAGGCTCCTGAGTTTGAGCCCCGCGTCGGGCTCTGTGCTGACAGGTGTGTCTTCCGCTCTCTCTGCCTTCCCCTGCTTGTCCTCTGCCTCTCTCTTTCTCTCTCTCTCAAAAATAAACATTTTTAAAAACCCAAAATGTTATAAAATAAGAGGTATAGAAAAGTCCTTGTAAACTGCAAACTGCTATTTACGTGTGCAGGATGGTAATTATTTTACTTCTCATAAAAATGTATATATACTATAGACATACACTACTAGAAATGTGTTTATTCAAGAGAAACTTTCACATCATACTCTGGTACCTCAGCCTGAAACGGGGCAGAAGAAGCAGATGTGGGAAAAGCTGTGAAGAAAGCAGTAGTTCTTATGGGCCTAGATACCTGCTTATGGGTGGACACATCAGCTTTGTCAGGAAAGACAGTGGTGCCCAGCAGCCACTCCCTGCTGTCTGTCTGAGGCAGAGTCCCCTTGGAAGCAGGGCTCTGGGTTTCCAGGGTGAAG